TTTTTACTACCTAGTTATTATTGTATTGTGTTTTCAAATACTTAGTTGACATACAAATTTCCATTTTTATTAATGAATATTTATTAAAAATTATAAAATATTTGATTTTATAACATTGTAAGTAAAAAAAAAAAAACTAAAGCTTTATACTTTTTACTTTACTTTTTTAAAGCTTATTTTTGCTATTAATAGGACATTAGACATTAGTGCATGCATATTTAGTACTTTTTAAGTGCATTAAGTTCCAAGCCCTATTCGTTACATAATAATTGATCTGTATACCAGAAATTTAAATGCAAACTTGCATTTCCTTATACTAAGTACATAATATTCAAACTGTAATCATTCCAACTTAAATGTTATCAATTAATCATTAAGACTTGATGTCTTACTTATTTATTTTTAATTTAAGTGAGTAATTATTTTTTTTTTAATTTTGATTTATAGGTAATTGATATTTCTCTGAATAAAAATCATACTCCGCAGCAACCTATGTTAAATTTGTTTCCAAGAAATCCAGATAATAGATCTTTTAATGCAAATTACTATAAATTATATAACTGGATTGAATATTCTGTGTTAAATGATGCAGTGTATTGTTTTGCATGTAGACATTTTTCAACAAATAAATGTATTCGTGGCCAATATAGTGGTAACTATGTATTCATCAATCGAGGATTTAATGGTTGGAAAAAACAATCTGTGTGTTTGAAGATTCATAATGAAAGTGATAGACACAAGTCCAGCATTGAAAAATGGACACTTTATTTGAGTACTAAACAAAATGATAGCTGTATTGCTAATTTATTAACTCACTCAAGACTACAAAATATTAAAGAAAACCGTAATCATGTTTTTTTCTTATTAAAAGCTACTCTGTATCTTGCAAAGCAAGGACTTGCATTCCGTGGCCATAATGAAGAAAGAGAGTCCTTAAACAGAGGTAATTTCATTGAACTATTAGAGACATTTGGAGACAAGAACACAATATTAAAAATGCAATCAAGGTACGGTCATTATACATCCCACGAATACCAAAATGATTTAATAAGTGTTATTGCTTCATCTACAAAAAATATAATTTTAAATAACATGTCTGAGTTTTCTGCATTTAGTATCTTAGTTGATGAAACAAAAGATGCGAGTAAAAAAGAGCAACTGAGTTTCTTGATCAGATTTATTGATAAAAACTATAATATTCAAGAAAAAGCTCTTGGCTGCTATCATATGGAAAAATGTGACGCAGATTCATTAAGTAAAGCTATATTAAAAATTGTTTCGGAAAATAAATTAGACATAAATAGATGTGTAGCCCAGTGCTACGATGGTGCATCAGTGATGAGTGGATCTTTTACAGGTGTACAAAAGAGAATAGCAGACATTGTTCCACAAGCTATATTTATACATTGTTATGCACATCGGCTTAACCTATGTTTGTTAAATTCAATTCAAGACATAAGATCTGTGGTAAACTTTTTTGATACTATTCAAGGTATTTATACATATTTAATGAATAGCCAAACCAGATATGAGTTGTTTACTAAAATTCAAAAGGATAAAAAAATCAAGGTATTACATTTGGAAAGATTAGTAGAAACCAGATGGTCTTATTGGTATACCTCGCTAAAAAAAATAAAACAGAGATACTCAGAAATTAAAGAAGTTTTGACTATTTTAACTTTGCAAGGAGATCAAACAGCTAGAGCCTGTGGATTACTCGAGGAAATTTCTACTTTTCAATTTATAATGATATTGAATATTATGAAAAAAATTCTCAAATGCGTTAACTGTTTGTCATGTGAATTACAATCTACTTCAATTTTTTTACCTGATGCTATGCATTTAGTCAAATCAACTAAAAAAGATCTACAGGGTTTCCGTAATGAAGAAACATTCCTTCGAATTCATGATAAGTCAAAATTATTTGCTAAAAAAAATGGATTAGCTAATGATGAAGTAAGAAACACAAGATTAAAAAGAAATTGTACATTGAATAAAAATTTAGATGACTACTTAGTGGATTCTACATTGGGAAAAACTCAAAACATAAATACTACACAAAATGTAAAAAGCGAAGTTTTCTATGCTATTATTGACAGGTAAATAAATATTAATTTAATATAATATTACTATAGAATGCTATCTTGATATTTTAAAATGTAATAATTAATATTGTACATAATAGTACTTTCTCTCATCAATATTTTATAAAAATATTAGAGATTATTAATTTTAACATTAGAAATAATATATTGTAATTAGCTTTTAAATTATTTAAAATGAAAATTACAAGATGACTAGCTAAGGTATTGTTTTTCTTATAATATATGCACTTTGGTTTAAAAATTTAAACTACACTCAGAAAATCTTATTATAACTTGGATACCTAGATTTTTAATGCTAACTATTAGATATTACATAATATTATTTGTATTTACTAGAGATTTACATTGTTTTATATTTATTTACCAGGTTTCTGACACAGATAGACTTACGTTTTTCTGAAAAAAACCAAGATCTGTTCAACATATTCCAGATATTTGATTATAATAATAATAACTATTTCAATTCAGAATGCTTACATTTACAAAATTTTTTTAAATCATTATAAATATTTTAAAATTAATGTATTAAAAATTCCATCTGAATTTACTTCTGCAAAATCATTGCTTCAACAAAAAAATATTATTCAACCAGATTTAAATTCAATTATTGATACACTCAAAAAACTACCAGCAGCATTTTCAGAAACTTTGAAGATACTTCAAATTATAAACACTCTTCCAGTGAGTACTGCATCAAATGAAAGATTTTTTTCTTCACTCAAAAGAGTGAAATCTTATCTTAGATCTTCAATGGGTGACAAACGATTAAGCGATTTAATGGTCATAGCGGTAGAAAAAGAAGATGCTAACAAAATAGATTTAGACAAAGAGGTAGATGTATTTTCTAAACTAAAAACTAGAAGGTATAAGCTAGAATAGTATAATTAATTTAAAATATTAATTTATATTGTATGGTATTATTTACTATAATATGTTAATAAATGTATTAATTTATTAATTTTATTTGGAATAAATTGTGTTGATTAAATGTAGGTACCTACATATACTAAATATTTTTAGATCCATACCAAAAGGCAAATAAATTATTAATGAATAATTTTAATTCATTAAAATATACCCTTCAATAATTTAACCTCATACAAGTAACTTGCACACAAACGATGATAATATGATATCTATATTTACTATTTTATAAAAAAAAAAAAGTGGCCTGACGAAAAAAAAATTGGCCTGCTTAAATTTTGGCACCTCTATTATAAAACTCAAATGGCGCCACTGCCTTCAGAACTTAGTATCGATATTTTAGCATGGCATTATCGAAAAACATTAGATAAGTATTAGAATTAAAATGAATGGGCGATACCCGTTTGCGTACATTTAACCTTTTTTGCGACTCGTTTGCGTACAAATGTACAACTCGATTGCGCACACGAATTTTTAATACCTGTGATAAATGACCCAAAACGTAGGACTCGTTTGCGTACATAAACTAGGTATAGCAAGTCTACTAAAACGTCTAAACAAAAA